TAATTGACATAAAATTTTTAATTGAATAGTTGAATTATTTAGTTCATTGCTATATAACTAGAATCTCTGTCGTGGACATCTGTTTCTCTTTTTTAGGCAACTCATCCAGTGGCACAGGGTTTCATTAAGTAATTAACAGAGGAGATATAATTTCTTATGCAGATATAATGATGATCCTGCAGACTGCTATTTATTTCATTGAGTTCTAATTAAAACACTAAGTTGAATTGTGAGAAAATGCCAACGAATGGTTTGCTTCACCAAGAAGTTATATGTAACATACTCATCTTCCTGGATGGTGTTGTATGGAGGGTGATAAACAGTTTAGGGGGAGCCCCTTTTCCCTCTTTATGGTAGGGGTCATTAGAAGGCACAAGAATATCTTTCTATCTAATAGACCATCAGCTGAGTGAAGGATAAGCAGGCATATTCCCAGGGCTTAAAAGTTGGAGATCTTAGCGTGGGACCATGTAGACTTATTCCTGTGGAATTAGAGGAAAAGAGGTCAAGGCTAGGTTAGTTGCCAGTTTTTGAGGTCTCACCAAATGGGTTGTTTGGTGATAACCAATGATTACAGTTTTATAAATATGAATGCTATGTTCTAATAATAGGGATGATACATTAAAAAGCATTTTCTTTATGTTATTCTCTTGCTTATTTAAAATAGTTAATTTTTCCTTGCAGTAAAGAAATGGGAGTATGCTTTGCAGATAGACAGCATGTTTGATAGTTTGGAGGACAGACTCAAGTGGAAAAGGGCTTTGAATGTGAACTGTGCTTCTCCAGACACACTCAGTTTTATCAGCTAGTGGTGTGAATGTTTTTTCGGCTCAGGGTCTGAGAGGTCCTTTTTACTTTAGAAGTATGCTGGCATACATAGAAGTATGTCAGGGTCCTGCGGATTTTAACAATATCAACAAAAAGGCTTTAACTAACTTCTGGTCTTGTACGGGACACACGCACCCTGCTGGCACCCCCTGGGTGAGGATGGGGGTTGATTAGGTGGATACTTAAGATTTAAGACCTTACCTCAGAACTAGCATTGTTGTTTGGTTACAGTTTTTACTCTGGAATTTTCACTTCTTGTGTCCACGCCCTGTAAAAATGTATCTAAATAGTGTTATTAATACAAATACTGCCATTGTTAGTTTTTGAAAAGGGACTTTCTAAAGAGCAATGTGTGGTCATACATGGTGAATTCATTTTGGCTGGCTGCTTTGTAATCATTTACAGTTAGATGGTTGCTCTTGTAAAGTAAGTGGGAGGGGGTCTGGAATGTTTGTGGCTGCCTCAGTCACCATGCCCACAGACCAGATGTGAACAGCTTCACTCAGTAGAGGTGGGAAATAGGCTGAACTTGCTTTCGCTTGTTTTCATCAAAGGTCTTCTTTAGTTGATTTGTATTGGTGGAAAATGCCATGGAGGACTGGAAGAATTAAATGAGATGAAAGAATGAATTGTGCATGCCCTCTGTATGTCTGTGCACAATGCATTTGGGTTGGAGAACTGTAAGTAAACTGTTCATCCTCACTGTTGAGACCAGGGGGCACTCCTGGTGAAGTGCAGCATCTTCCTCACACAAAGGGAGGCTGGAGACAGGAATACACAGCCTTCACAAAAGTATATCCATCAAGTTGCTGCTTCTCACTAGAGCCACTTTAAAATCAGGATGGCCTGAGAAAAGATTCATTGATTCAAGAAATACTGAGTTGTGGGCATGAAGGACACACCAGTGAACAAAGCAAGCAAAACTTCTGCCCTCCTGGAGTTTATATTCCTCTTGGGGTTCATGTTAAAAGATTAAGTATTGTGGAAGAATATAAACCAGATGCCTAGACAGAGTCATCCAGGAAAAAGGCTTCATTGAAAATGTGACTTTAGAGCAAAGACTTAAAAGAGATGGGATCCCATTTAGATCTGTGTCTGTGTGAAGAGTATTTTAGACAGAGGGAACAAAAGGTGCAAAGACCCTGAGGTGGGAGACAATAAGGAGATAAGGTGAGAGAGATAGGGTGGGGGCACAAATCATACAGGGCATATTGAGGCTGATAGTATTTTAGACTTTTACTCCGAGGTGGGGAGCTACTGTAGGATTTTGATCAGGGAAGTGACTTGATACTAATTTAATTTTTAATGAAATCACTTGGGCTGCTGTTTGGAGAAGAGACTCTAGGGGCAGGGGTATAAGCAGGGAGATCAGTTGTGGTAGTTAAGGTTGTTGTCACCTTGGCTGGGCCTGGTTGAGTGGCTGGGCAGCTGATGGTCGTTACTCCCCATGATGAGACTGGCAATCAACTCTATGGTGGAGTCTGTCATCTGAGTAGCTGCTTTAGGGATGTGGTCTGCTTCCCATATATAAGGAGAAGCTTTGGGATAGATCTTTAGCCTTATGGTGTGCTTGAACCCTGCATGTAGCCATGTCATTGTTCCGCAGCCTGCCGTGCTTTGCCAACCTTGGGACTTTCAGTAGACCTGAATTAATGGCCTGCTGTGTTGTTTGGTAACATTGGGACTGTGCCTTTTTACTTGTCAGCCTTGGGCTTGTCAGCCTCCAGCTTCTGTGGGCCAGGAGCAGGAGGTAGAGCTGAAGCCCAAGGTTGAGGGGCTTTCACCCAGCCCCTAGAGCCTGGCGCTTTGAACTCGACTTAAAACCTCCAAAATTGTAAGAGAATAATAAGCTCCTGTTGTTACCCATTTGTGGTATATTCTTGTTAGAGTGGCACTAGGTAGCCAAAACACCAGTTAAGAGACTTTTGTACTAGGTAGACAAGATGGTGATTTCTTGGACCATGGGGTAGGAGTTGAGAAGTGGGCTCTGGAAGTATTTGGAAGATTGTGTAGATATTGCGTTCCAGAGGTGGTTTAGTACAAACCACTTTGGAATGTTGGCAGAAAGTATATCCTCAGTATGCAGAGATGGCTTTTCCAGAAATACAGCCTCCAACTGCTGCTTTTTTTGAAGGAAAGAGTTATTTAGAGTCTGCTTGTGACATGAACTTTTTTTGCATTTAAGGTTATAAAAACCACAGATGGTTATATACTACATCTATTTTCACCTGCCAATTTGGCACCAGCCCTAAGGTTGTGATGTCAGGTGCTGCGTCTGTACTACCCCACAATGGAGGTCATGGGGCAACTGAAATTTTGAAGTTTAGAACTTCGTTTTTATGTGTTTAGTTGTGTTTGGGAGTGAAAATACGAGTTTTTACTAGAGAAGATTATGGATAACCTATCAAAGCACTGGCTTTGGCTGTGGAATGGTGCTAAGCATGGTGATATAAAGAAACATATAAAAACACAGTCTTTTTCTCTAAGAAATTGCAGTCTACTTGAAAGTAAGCAAATCCCCAAGAATAGGTAAATAACAAATAGAAGCAATAAAGAGCCAGAGCCCAAGGAAGGGTTACAAAGAGACAGTCCCCCTCCAGCTGGAATGATCTCATGGAGACTAGCTTAGCTTTTTTTTTTTTTGGTCATTAAATGTTCTAGAACATCATCTCTGTGTGTGTGTGCGTGTGCGTGTGCGTGTGTGTGTGTATGTGTGTGTGTGAGTGATTTGAGTGAAAGTTTACAGAGCAATTGGTTTTCCATTCAACAATTCATGCACATTTTGTTTCATGACATTGATTGCAGTCTCCACAATGTAACAGATCTCTTCCCACTTCCTCCCTGTAGTTACTTTTTACCTGTGTCCTTCTTTCTAGCCTAGAACTTTTTAAAAAAAAAAAATTGTGATTTGGGTGAAAGTTTACAGGGCAAATTGTTTTTCCATTCAGCAATCCATACAGGTTCTCTTTTGTGACATTTACTGCAATCCCCACATTCTCTTTACGCCCACCCCTTCCATTTGTCCTTCCTCCCATCCCCTCCTACCTTCCCATCTCTATCCATGGACAAATACTGTCCTCTTTTTTTTTTTTTAATTGTGATTTGGGTGAAAGTTTATAGAACAAATTCTCTTTCCATACAGCAGCTCACATACACATTGTCTCAAGACCTTGATTATAATTTACCATAATCCAATAGCTCCCCTCCCACTTCCTCCTGATAGTTACCCTTCCCTGTGTCCATACCTCCATGTACTCCTGCCCCCTGAACTGTCTCCCTGTGCATAAACAGCCCTTCTTTCTCCCATGATTGTTCTTTCCAAGGAGTATGTCTACTTCAGGTACATGTTGAACTAATATGCCTGCCTTTCGTTTAGCTGGAAGCCACAGGTGTGGGTTCAATTCAGACCTGAAGGGCAGCTAGGGGCCATAGTCTCAGTGCTTCCACCAGGCTCTATCAGACCAGCAAACCTGGTCTCTCCCCACCCCACCCCCCCAAATGATTGTGAGTTTGTTCCACATTATTCTCTCTCTCCATCCAGGATCTTCTCCATAGATCCCCCTCTGAGTGGTTGACAGTGGTAACAGGGCACCATCAAGTTCTTGTGATCTCATAGTCCTATAGGCTGTGCATCTCATTGTGTACCAGTCGCCAGGACTAATTCTTTCCATGAATCTTTGGTTTTCTTCCTTCTTTGCTCTGGATGAGGAGAGACCCACCATTGCATCTAGATGGCTGTATGCAAGCTTTTACGATCCAAATCACTACTCGCCAAAGTAGGAGGCGGGACAGTGTTTTGTGTAGTATGTTATGCCAGTTGAGCTTGATGTCCCCTGCAAACATGGTCCTGAGCCCACAGGTCCAACTGCTTGTACTCTCTGGGTTAGCTTAGATATTTTAAAAAAACAACAACGTAGAACTGATTTTTGTTGAGCCACTCTCAGCTTCCTCTCCAAGCTTAGGCCTTGCTTGTTTGTCAGAAGTCTACCCTAAAGGTACACGCTTGTCATGGTTTTTTGCTGTGGAATCAAAACTTGTTCTCTTGTTCACACAAGTCCAGTTCCTAGAAAATGAAAGCCGCCGAGCTGGGAGAATGCCTGGCAGTTCATTAATGAGCAGTGCTTACCAGGACAGACACTAATCCTGATCCCCAAATGTATTGTTTTGATCAGATTCACACTCTGAGAATGAGGCTTCACCAGTAAAACGGCCACGACTACTGGAGAATACCGAACGGTCCGAGGAAACCAGTCGATCTAAACAGAAGAGTCGACGTCGGTGTTTCCAGTGCCAAACCAAACTGGAGCTGGTGCAGCAGGAATTGGGATCATGTCGCTGTGGTAAGCATCTCCCCTAGTGGTGTGATGGAGACGGTGTTTTTGTCACCTGGGCACTATTTTGTAAAATATTTGTGAGAAGCTGAAGTTCTTCATTCTTCTCCTGAGCACCTCACTCAGCTGTAGGCCTGGAGCTTCAGACTTCAGGAGTGGAAGGTTCTTGCTTCTAAATATCCTTCATTTCCTCTCACACATACAAGAAAGGCAGACATCCTCAGTTACTCTTAAATGTGTTTCTTTAGAGTTACATTGTCACTGCTTTCAACTTCTCTCTATCACCTTTACTCTAATTCCTTCACGTTGATGAGTTACATAGAAATTAACCAAACTAACTCAATTGTGGGATATATACCATAAAATTTAGATATTAAATTAATTTAGAATGAGCTTCTTATTATTGTTGATAAATGAAACAACTCTTCTCCGTATCCCTTTTAAATTAAAGTTTGATTGGAAAATTTTCTTTAAATCCTATTTTATCTAGTCACTTAACATTTTAGACATAATTTTAAAGTAATCTTTATTTCTGTATTCTCCAGTATAATACCAACTCTTAGCATCGCTACACAGGGTTTTATTTTAAAAAACTTTTTGCCTACCCACAGCAGAACAAAACTTAGGCCAATCCTTCTTTTCTCCTTGACCACATAGATCATGTCACATAGGAGCAAGTTGTATAGCTGCATTATTTTAGGCTGACTTACAGTTTTTCTGTCTCTGTTTTTATTTCCTAATTTTAAAGCAAACCAAACCAAACTCACTGCCGTCGAGTTGGATCTGACTCGTAGAGACCCCCCCTTGGGCTTCCAAGACAGTATCTCTATGGAAGTAGATTGCCCAGTCTTCCTTTTGAGGAGTGGCTGATGGGTTTGAACCTCCAGTCTTCTGGTTAGCAGTCACATGCCTTAGGTACTATGCTACCAGAGCTCCTGTTTTAAAGCATAGGATTATAAAATTGTTCTATGGCATAAAATTGTCATCAGGTCAGCTTTAAGGCCTGGCTCTAGCCTCAGAGAACCCTATATTCTTTGTCCTGAGGAGTTAGCTTTGGAAGATTCCTCTCATCTTTAGGATAGCCATAGATCCCCTACAAGTGCTGTTACTAGCAGTCTGGACTAGATAGTTTGCTAAGCAGTTACAACATTGCAGTCACTGGAAGTCCTCCATCTACTAAAGAGACAGCCTTTGCTGCCCTGTTTGAAATGAGGAGGAGGGAGTCTCAGGAACTCTTATTCTCATCATGGGCATACTCTGTGTGGTGGTACTCAGCAAGATCAGAATTTGTTCAACTGAAGAGAAAGGTACCAGGATAGGGAATCCAGGTGTCTTATTTCTTTAGCTTGGCATTTGTTTCTACTACTCAATGCTTGTGAGAAAGTGAACAAAGAAGGCAGCTAGATAGAGTAAGAGATGGGAGCAGAGATCGTCTTAAGTTTATTGACTTCAGTTGTGTTCATTGTGAGTCAGGTGAGTCCAGAACCTTACTCAACTCTGCCAGGTAAGTTAGAATTCTTGGTTGAGGTGTAGGGCAGGAATACTTTGCAGAGCTACTGAAACTCTGGAGTCTGATGACTAACCAACTACTTCCAGACTAAAGAATTTGTCTGATCTTTTGTAGTGTGATCATTCCTTCTTTGGTCTTCATTTAAACTGTTGGGGAGTTTAGCAGTTCCAGTGTTGTGGAGCCTAGCTGGCTGTTTTACCTGTTGCTTTAATAACACAGGTCTTTGGTCCCTAAATCAGATTTATGGGATTTTTTTTCTGTCTTACGTTTTTGTTTCAATCTTGGGAGTAACTGAATCCTGGGTATTACATAGGATTTGTCATAGTGGATCAAGCAATTGGTCCATCAGGTGTGCTTTCTTGCCTCTGGCAGTGGCTAATACTAGTTCCTCTTGTCAGACAAGCAATGAGAATTCATAATTTAGTAAGAATTTGTTCAATTTAGTGAGACCCAGCAGTGTTATGACCAGGTCTCCCAGTTGACCCTTCAGCTTTGATGCAAACCACTAATTTCCTAAGGTCTTGGTGCCCAGCTGAAAGAATCTAGAAATACATGATAGATGACTTCATTGCTCCTCAGTGAAGCCAATGTGACTTTCTCTGGTAGGTACAGATTACTCTGCTGAGCTCTTTACCAGACATGCACCCTTTTTAAGTGATCTAACAAGTAGTCCCTTGGCTTGTGCCCAGTTCTGAGGATCTACTTGTTAGGGAGATTTGACTTTACTGCTGGGGAAGATGAAAAAAAAAAGTTCTGCATTTTCTCTAGTCTCTCCAGATGTAGCCTTCCTAGAGACAGCTGGGAGTTCAGTTTGGCCCCCTGAGAGCATTACACTTCTGTGCCCTGAAAAAATGACTGAGTCAACTGCCACACTTTAAAAGATGAAGGAAAGCAATGATAACATACACCTCAGGAACTATCTTTGACAAATAGTTCTTGTGTTCCTCCTGCCTGTCTGCTTGGATCTCTTTAGGAAAGGGTGAGATGTGTAGCCTGTTTCCTTGAGGATGCATGGAGTGCTGGAGAGAGATTTAACTGCTGCCCTGAAAGGTTTTAGATGGAGGGGGGGGAAAACAATAATTTACTACTGAACGTGAAGACTCAGAAAAGTGTTTTGAACTCAAACAGAACACCTCCACTGTGGGGGGGGGTGTGAAAAAAATTATTTACATATATATAAATATATATAATTTCCCCCTACAATCTTTTTTTCCATTTCCCTTCCACTCTGTACAGGTTATTAACTGCTGACAAGAAATTCACATCTCATAAATAATGCTTAAGAGCCATTGCTATATAAATTGAATGTGTTATGAATTGTGATGGGCCTTTTTGTAGCATTCAATGCCTAGAGCAGGAAGAACAGAGGATGTCATTTTCATTAATTTCTAATGAGGTGCCAATTAAAGGCAGGGAAGATGCTCCAAAGGGGAGAGTGGCCAAGCTCCCCTGAATCCTCCGCCCTGGGGCTGTCATTGAAACACTGCTAGTGAAGCCTTCTCTAAAAATTCCATTAAATTACAGTCTCATCGAGAGCACACACAGACACATTCAGCTTCTCTTTGATCTTCAAAAGAGCAATTTGTAAAGCGAGTTCTGAGCTTTCTCACATAGGGAACAGCTAGAGGTGATAGGAATTGTTAATTGCCAAGACACTCCCTGAGCTTTCAATAAGGAGGTGAATTTTGAAGATGAATTCTCTGCTGCCTCACTATGACTAGATAACCTTTAAATCAGTAATACCAAAGTAACACCCATTTCCTGTGAAATCTTTCAGGGTGCCAATTAGAAAAGGTATGTGGTAAGACTGGGATGATACCCTGAATCCTACAGCATCTTCAACAGTTTAACTTCTCAAGATAGAAAACAGTTGCATAAAAATGGATTTATTTGTTTCTTTTTCTACTCAGTAGGCAAATTGATCAGCTTATTCTCATTGCAGGAGGCTTGTCTCCCTGAATGCCACCTAGAGTATATTCTTTTAAAATCTGGCCATCCTCATCAAACCGGGGTTACATCACAGCCACATGAATGCTGTGTTCTCTAAGCAGACCTTTATGATACACACAGCAGGGCTTTTAAATCACTGTGTGTTGCTTCCCAGGACCACAGAAATAATTTTTAAACACTCGTCTAAGAGTTTGCATTAAGTAATTGCATATTTCCAGTTGACAGTGACTTAAACTGTAAGCAGATATGCTCCCTTTTAGGACAACAATGCTTCTACTAACCTCTTGAGTAATCTAACTTTCTGTTGTTAGGTGCTGCAGGGTCAGTTCTGACTTACAGCCGTCCTGTGCACAACAGAACAGAACAGTACCTGCTCCTGCACCATCCTCATAATCATTGTGATGTTTGAGCCTGTTGTTGCAGACACTGTGTCAGTCCATCTTGTTGAGGGTCGTCTTTTTTGTTGACCTTCTGCTTTACCAAGCATGATATCTGTCCAGGGACAGATCCCTCCTGATGACCAAAGTGCAAGAGACAAAGTCTGGCCATTCTTGCTTCTAAGGAGCATTCTGGCTGCACCACTTCTAGGACAGATTTACTCATTTTTTCTGGCAGCCTGTGGTATTTTCAGTATTCTTCACCAACACCACAATTCAAAGGCATCAATTCTTTTTCAGTCTTCCTTATTCATTGTCCAGGTTTCACATGCATATGAGGTGATTGAAAATACCATGGCTTGGATCAAGCACACCCTAGTTTTCAAGGTGACATGTTTGCTGTTTAACACTTTAAAGAGGTCTTTTGCAGCATATTTGCCCAGTGCAATACCTTACTTAATTGTTTGGTTACTGCTTCTAGGAGTGTTCATTGTTGATCCAAGTAAAATGAAATTCTTAATAACTTCAATCTTTTCTCCATTTATTGTGATATTGCTTATTGGTCCAGTTGTGAGCATTTTTGTTTTATGTTGAGGTGTAATCCATACTGAAGGTTGTAGTCTTTGATCATCAGGGAGAGCTTTAAGCCATCCTCCCTTTCAGCAAATAGAGTTGTGTTATCTGCATATCACAGTTGCTAATGAGTCCATTTAAAAATTCAAAATGATGCCATTTTCTGGTGCCTTTAAGGAGCTCTGGTGGCACAGTGCCTAAGGCATTTGACTGCTAACCACCAGGTTGGCAGTTTAAATCTACCAGCTGCTCTGCAGAAGGAAGACTGGGTAATCTACTTCCATAAAGATTTACTGCCTTGGAAACCCAAAGGGGGTTGTTATGAGTCAGAATCCACTCGATGACAGTGAGTTTGGTTTTTGGTTGGAATAGTGTATCATCTGCCAGTGCCTCAGTGGTCGTGTCTGCCTTATTTATTGTCTGATCAAGTTCAGCAAGCATTTATTGAGATGTCGTTGTTGTTACATGCCATCGAGTCGGCCCCAACTCATAGCGACCCCTCCTTGGGTTTCTGAGGCGGTATCACTACGGAAGTAGATTGCCCAACCTTCCTTCTGAGGAATGGCTGGTGGGTTAGCAGTCACGTGCCTTAAGCACTA